CCTGGCATTCTTTGCCTAGGTTTATTAGAAGGAATATCAGTGTTAGAAGTCAATTTAAATTCTTCACTTCAAAATCAAGTATAGACGCTGGCCAGATAGCTCAGTGGACTAAAGTGCCTGCTTAGGCATAGCATAGTGGCCGGGGTTCAATCCCCAGTGTGCCATGCCCCAGCCTTGGCCCCGCCCCTGGGGTACACTGAGACAGCAAATGAGACTAGGCATGGTGGCACGTGTCTGTGATCTCAGTGCTTAGGAGGCTGAAAACAGGAGAATCACTAGGAATTCAGTCTATGTAGTGAGACCCTGTAGATCCTGTACTAAATACATTTAAAAAAAGAAAGAAAAAGAAATTAAGCTCCAGGTGCTACTCCTCAACAATGTGAAGAATCAAAGATCTTGGCTTCTCTTCACTACAGCAGAGCAAGCCATGTGTGGTGACGCACTCTTCTCATCCCAACCTTTGGGAGGCATTGGCAGAAGGGTTTCCTTGAGTTTGAAACCAGCCTGAGCTGTGTAGTGACACCCTATCTCAAAAAACAAACAAAACTAGAAGAGCGGAGCAGGAAGTAGGAAACTCTTGCTGTTCTCCGTGTGCTTTTTTTTTTTTTTTTTTTTTTCCCCAGAACCGGGGATTGAACTCAGGCCCTTATTCTACTGAGCCATCTCCCAGGCCCCTTCTGTGAGCTTTTCTCAGCAGTGCTTCTGAGGGTGCATGAAAACAAGTCCTGAGATGGCCTTGAGGCCAGCATGAGGACGCCTCCAGGATCACAGGAGCTCTCCAGCCTGTTCCAGGGAGAAGAAAATAGAGAGGTTCAGAGGTGAAGGCTGAACAAATTTCGTGTGCAGCATGAGTACTTTTATTTAATCTTACATGAATAACACCTATGTTCTTGGGAGTGGCCAGAGGAAGGCCAAAAGGAAGCCTGTGAAAATGGATCATAGAATATGGAGAGATGCAGACTGCTGAGCCCCAGCCACTGAGCCCCCTGCAGTGTGGAGGGGCAGGGTGCTCTGGCCAGCCTGTGTGGACCCGAGGAGTCAGTCCCCAGCCTGGCTCTCACAACACCCATTTTCTTTGAAGAAAATTGAAATTCCTCCTCCCTTCAGGTGAGCCCAAGAATAAGGTAACTGAGATTGAGAAATTTCTTTTTTTTTTTTTTTTTTTTTTTTTTTTTTTGAGAAATTTCTTTTCTTTTTTAATTTACTGCTTTTTGGACAGATTCTTGCTGTATTGCCCAGGCTAGTTCAAACTTATGAGTTCAAGCAATCCTCCTGTCTCAGCTTTCCAGGGAGCGGGGACTACAGACACAGGCACGTGCTGCCAGGCCTCGCTTGGAGATTCCTTTTCTAAGAAGTCCCAGCCAATAAAGGAGTTTGTGTTTGTCTTTTCTGGCAAAAAAAGACTATTATTCATGAATAAATCAACAAACAATACCATAAATAGCATATTTAATGAGTGTGTTCTACCTATAAAATAGTTAGATGGTGCTAAGAACAAAAGAAATACAAATTTTTGGAAATCAGAAAAATGATTGTTTAATAGGCATGTCTGAAGATAAAGAAGAAAATGTTTGGAATGTAAAGTCAAGTGACAATAGGAGAAAAGTATTGTATTCAGAGTCATGCTAGATTCTCCCTTCTGAGAATCACACATGCCTTTAATTAATTTTAAAAAATAAAAGATTAAGATAAAGGATTCTTAGATATGTTAAGGAAAAATTAAAAGATCAAAATAATATTCTCAGTGATGAGGTATATACACTTCAAATAAACAATACCTTCTTGCATTTTTTCACTTGTGGTAAAATGCAAAATCTAACATTTTAGCTATTTTTAAGTAAACGATCTGTAGTAGTGAATGTATTCACAATGTTTTGTAACCATCATCTATTCTGAATCCAAATAATCCTCACAGTGGGGTTTAATTCAATTTTACTTTTCCACAGAAAATAGTGTAATGTTTTTTCAATAGACAGTGCTCTCGTAACGTGGGGGAGCCTGACAGAGGTCACATATCACAGGAAACCCATCATCCTGCTGGCCCTTAGAGAAGAATTTGAAAATGCTTGTGCGGCAATCTCAGGCTGTCCAAGCAACACTCTGCTGTACTAGTCAGCGTCTGGAAGCTGATGGCCAGCGCTCCTAGCTCCTCTCGTAAGTGCAGAGGGCAAAGGTAACTTGTATGCATTTCGTGATATCTCAAGAACTTTAGTATTAAAATATTTATGCAAGTTTTTCTTTTTCTGAAGTGTGCATGCATTTTTTGGTGGACTCTGCATTTTTACTCTGGGTACCTCTGCTTTTTGAATATCCAAGAAGTCTTTTATACTTTTTAGTTTTTTTAATTTTACAAATCTAGGTGGTAACCTGTAATAATTTCATACACATATACGATGTGTAATGATCAAATCAAAGTAGTTAGCATCTTCAGCTCAAACATTTTTCCAATTTTTAATTGACACATAATTCTGCATATTTATGGGGTATCAGATTATATTTCCAAACATGCATACAATATGTACTTTTAAGGTCAAGGTAATTAACATTCCAGCTCTTTATCATTACTTTGTGTTTAGAGGCCTCAAGCTCCTCTCTCTGGTTACCCATAAACTGTAGATAGATCATTATGAACTGTAGTCCCTCTCTCAACTGAAGACCACTTGTCTAACTGATTACTTCCACCTATTTCTGGTACCTAACCTCTCCCTTCTCCCACATTTTCTAGCCTCTAGTAATCACTATTCTTTCAGCTCAATGTTTTGACTCCTACATATGAGAAAGTGCATTACTCTATCCATTTATCCACTGATATCTAGGTTGCTTCCACATTTAGCTATTGTGCATAGTGCAGCAATAAACACAGGTGTGCAGTTCCCTATTACTATGCTGATATCTTTGGATATATACCCAGAAAAAGAGCTAAATTATGCTGGATAGGAGAGATCTGTTTTTAGCTTTTTGAGGAATCTCTATACTGTTTTTGTACAGTGTTGTCTATGCCAATTTACTTTCCTAACAAAAGTACCTGACAGCCCCCTTTTCCAGACATCCTCATCCACTGGCATTTCTTCTTTTAAAAGTGTTTATTATGTAACACAAAATACACAAATATGTACTAACAAAAAATTAACAAAATTAAAAAGATACACTGAGGATGCACCTCAGCGGAGTAAGCAACACCCTGGCAAGCGTGAGGTTCTGAGTTCAATCCCCAGTACTGTAAAAAATTAAAGGGGTGCACTGAGATGGTGATTGAGACTGGGCATGGTGGTATGCACCTGTAATCCCAGTTCTGTGGGAGGCTGAACACAAGTGGATCGCTACAATTCTGATCTACGTAGTGAGACCCTGTAGACCCTTACTAAAAAGTGAATAAATAATAAAAAATTAAAGAGAGGTATATATTCATTTCCTTAAATATTGTTAAAGTGCAGACTACTCAGGTTCCACTCTCAAAGGCCCTTCTTAGAGTACATAGACAGAAGTCCCAGGATAGAGATTTTTTAATAAGAACCTTAGATGACTCATTTTCAGATATTCTGGTTTGTTTAGATACCTTATGTATATAATGTGAGTGACACCCAACAAATAACATTTTCAATTTTAACATACTTTGATATTCTCTGTCCTTCAGTTCAAGCCATATTTAATAAAATATTAGTAATTTAATAAATATTTCAATACAACAAAAAGTATTTCTTTTCCAGTAGTTTCATAGATTTGGCTCTCACATGTAATTCTAATTCACTTTAAGTGTTATTTTTAAACATGGTGTGAAATTAGTCTAATTCTGTTCTTCTGCATATAAAACCCACTTGCTCCTAAAACTTTTTCAGACTTTTTTGAGACATAGCCTCCCCAGGTAGTCTAGGTGGTGGGCCTTTGACCTTACCATGTAGCCCAGGCTGGCCTCAAACCCATGGCAATCCTCCTGCCTTAACCTCATGAATCCTGGGATTACACATATGTACCACCATTCCTAGATACACAAAACCTTTTGTTAAAAAGCCAATCCTGGGGCCAGCAAGATAAGTCAGTGGTCTAAAGCACCTGTCTAGGCAAGCTTAGGCAGGTGCAGGGAACCAAAGTTCAATCCCAGGTACCATATGCTCTGCCAGCCCCACCCTCAGGGTTGTCTGAGCTGGCCAAAAAAAAAAAAAGTCAATCCCACTCTCATTACATGTTCTTGACACCTTTGTCAGAAATTAATGAACTGTGAACACATGAGCTTATTCTTGGCCCTCTATCCTGTTACATTCATCTATGGGTCTGTTTTCTAGCCAAGTTCATGCAGTCTGATTAATGTACACCTACTGCATATTTCAAAGTGAGGTAGTGTGATAGCTCCAGATTATTTTTGCTCAAGATTGCTTTGGCAAGGATTGCAGGTACCAAGCCCATTCCCCTACATTGTAGGACCAATAACCCATGCAGAAATGCCCAGGACCTTGGGTAACTAGCGTGGTCAGAGGAATCCAGGAGTCTGCACCATCTCTTTACATGAAGTGAAGTACCTGGGACCTGGAAACTGCCTGGCCAGAGGAACAAAGGGCAAATCCATTCTAACAAGGGGAAACATTTCACATACAAACTCTCAATTTATGATTTATTCTGTTAACTATAGACTTTGCTCCTATAATCTAAAGTATAAAACCAGTCATTACCAAAGCCTGTCAATTTCTAAGTTTTGCTTGATTTTCTCATTTTGGTTATTGTACTACTGCAGCCAGGAGATCATATCTGTTTTAACCACTTATTCTCCCTTGAGTAACAATACTGGGAAGCACTGATGTAATGACCTCATCAAAGCCCTACATCTAAAGATGAAGGACACTGCAAACAGAAATCAACATCCCACCATCAATTAATTGGGAAGACAGGATCTCAAGACAGACACAAACCAAGAATCTCTGACACAGAGAAGACATCCTTGAAAAAGAGATTTTTCCTAGGGTGGCCTTGATAATAGTGATATAGGTACCTACTACCAAAATTTCTTAATGTTTATCACTGAAATCAAAATAAAGACCTTTCTGAGGAAGATCTTTGTGGGCACAAAAGGGATCCCTCATCTGGTCACCCACGATGCTCGCACCATTCGCTACCCTGACCCTCTCATCAAGGTCAATGACACCATCCAGATTGATTTGTCATCTGGCAAGATCACCGATTTCATCAAGTTCGACACTGGTAACCTGTGTATGGTGACCGGAGGTGCTAACTTGGGAAGAATTGGAGTGATCACCAACAGAGAGAAGCATCCTGGCTCTTTTGATGTGGTTCATGTGAAAGATGCCAACGGCAACAGCTTTGCCACCCGGGTCTCCAACATCTTTGTCATCGGTAAAGGCAGCAAGCCGTGGATTTCTCTTCCACGAGGAAAAGGAATCCGTCTCACCATTGCTGAAGAGAGAGATAAGAGGCTGGCAGCCAAACAGAGCAGTGGGTGAAATGGTCTCTAATGACATGTTACAGAGATCTCTGTTTAATTAAAGATAATAGAACATGAAAAAAAATAAATAAAAAATAAAGACCTTTCTGATATAGAAAATGATGAGCCAAAATGCAATTTCAGGTCCCCAGCTCACCCAGAACAAGTCCAGGTGACATCAACATAGAAGAAATTGGAAGTCACACACCTGAAGTCTTTGAAATGATAGTAACTGAAGTAAAGAAACAAGTCCAAGCAGGTATAGAGGAAGTCAGATCAGAAATAATCTCTCAGGTTAAAAAAAAATGATAACCATAATAAAAGAATTACTGAGCATATCTAAAGAAGGCATAGATTTTAAAAATACAGGAGCATAAAAAAATGATGGAAATCTTGAATGAACAATATAAGAAAGAATTACAGTGCATGAAAGAGATCAAAGAGATATCTGAAATTAAAAATTCCATTAAAAACTAGCAAAACTATCTGAATGAAATTGGAGATAGACTTTCAGACCTTGAAGAAATCATTGCAGCTAGCAACCATGAAAGGAAC